CAAAGTCAAAGTCAAAGTCAAAGCATTTATTTCAATTAAACCATAGTTTGGTACTTTTGAAACGTCAACAAATACAAAATAAATAATAGTCTGTCAGTCCGTCCGTCAGTGAAATTAGGTGAAGCTAGGTGCTAATAATAAAGAAATAATAATAGTGAAAAATAAACTCGAAAACGACCTCAAACCAGTAGTAATTACCATTGTAAACACAACGGCGTGAGCGCCTGTGATGGTCGACAAAACGAGAACTAAAGAAAGTCTGTATATGTATATGTAAACATAATCTGTCAATGCAATTTGTTCCTAAAACAAAAGTACTTACTGTTCAAATTTAGTGTCTCTAGGACAGTCGTTGGGATCCATTCCCGGAAACTCATGTGGATGTGTCTGGATGGAATATGGGTAGAATATTTGCATCACCTGGAAATTGGAAAATTGAATCTATTTTAAAAAATATAAAATCTAAATTAGAATGAACGAAGATATATGTTAAAAAGAATGCTAATTGGTTATATGACATCGTTCACCGCGCTCGAATCTCAAAATTATAAGCCCGGGTATCGCTCAAAACCAGTCTAAATGTGTGTGTGTCAGAAGTATTATTTTATTATAATTATTATTCTCCAGAAAATTAAAATTATTATCCTCTTTTTATATAATAGAAATATATATATTGGAAGAATGTAAACATCGCCCATACCCAAAACACTGTAGTTCCGTTCATAGCAGCACTGCGTCACAGTAAAAAAAAAATCTTGTCTATTCCTTTATTCTGTAATACTCCTCGTGCAATAAACCGAAGTTTAATTTGTTAACTCTAATAATCGTTTTATTCATTTCCTATATATCATCATTATAATCACGCCTTTTATCTCCGAAGGAGTAGGTAGAGGTGCACATTAATGCACTTAATGCCACTGTACAATGTAACACCCACTTTTCACTATTTATGTTACGAGTCCCATGTAATAGGGGGTGAGCCTATTGCCATATACCGGGCACATACCAGACACCTACTGAGAATATTTTTTACAATTATAGTATTCTTCAATTCGAGTTCTCGTGGTGGCCCGGGGATGGAAGACGCCTGATTCTCATGCATGAGAGTGCAGGCTCGAAACCTACCAACGACAAGTACCAATGTGACTTTTTCCGAGTTATATGTACTTTCTAAGATTATCTAGACACCACTGACAAACGGTGAAGGCAAACATCGTGAGGAAACCTGGCCTTATAATTTCAAATTATAAGTTTGAAATCGCCAACCCGCATTGAGCAAGCGTGGTGATTAATGCTCAAACCTTCTCCGTGTGAGAAGAGGCTGTGCTTATCAGTGAGCATTTATAGGCTGTTGATGATGATGATTCTTCAATTCGAGCGAAGATTGGAATCCATCTCCGAGATCGACTAGGTATAATTGGGTTTTTCAAATTTTACTTCGTTGAGAAATCGACGTATCGAAGACGTTACATTATTTTTTTATACAAGATGTCGTTTTGAAGCCGTGTCATTTCTCGGGGGCATGTCACAGAAGTCATAAAGGTTCAATCTAAGAGAAAATTTCGGGCCAATAGTTAAAATACGGCTATAACAAATCGTTTAAGTTCGACAGTATTTCAGAATAAGCGACAGCAATGTTTCTTATTGGAGTTTTATGCAAGGAATAATATCAATTACGTGTTTGAGTTTGTGTGTGTTGAGCCGCGTTATAAAGCTAGTTATATGTAATTTACAGAAAAATAAAAATATCATAATATACAATTTTTTTATTGATTCGGACTCAGAATCGATATCTGAGTTATCTCCTAGAAAATGATGCGGCTTTAAAACAACACCTTGTAAGACATACCTTAGTAAAATCGATACTCCTAACTAATGTATTAATTTCTTCGTCATAGTAATCGTGGGAGAATATTAGAAGTGTCCTGTCTATCTCCTTCGCTTGTGCTAGCGACACGATCAGGTGGCGTAGGTACGTCAGCCTGGTGTGTACCTGGAATTAGAAAAAAATAATATATACATTAATTATAATGTTTCTCTTTTTTTTTTTTTTTATGGCATAAGCCGGTTCAAAAGCCTAAATTCTGCCAGAACCCATTATTCTCCGCGGACGAAGTCGCGGGCAACAGCTAGTATAAAATACAGATCAATTCAGAATCTAGGTAAAATCCGTCACAGATCAACCTCGAAACACAATTTCAATTCAATAATGTAAAACATGAATAAAAAGAGGATACAATTTAAACGTAAAACTATTTCACCTCGCTCAGCATGTTTAAAAAAAAATAAACGTCAAAATGAAATGACAGTAACTGTCACATTGTATTCTAAATAAATCGATCAGTCGTGACGAGACGACAATATATTTTATTTTTATTAATTATTACAGTTTGATTTCTTTAAATCGCCATGTTGATGGAAGACGATAGCGACGACGTATCTGTATGATAATTTTATAATTAAATACATTATTTATAAATATTACATTATACATTATTATTTAATAAAATAATTAAAATACAGCTTAGAGCCGCACGCAGACAATGGATATCACATATAAATGTTTCTCTTCTATAAAAAAACTGCATCAGTATTCGTTGTGTAGTTTTAAAGATCTAAGCAAATGTAGGGACAGACGCTACGAACTCACGATGCGATTGTCACCCGCCGCGATGGCGGTACGGAGATTTATTTTCACAACTGACGAGACCCCACTTTCCTGCGGTCCGCAGCCGCCGCGGTTGCGACCATCGCCCGCAAACTTGGCCTTTATATTACAATCAGTTGAGATCCAGACCGGCCCTCCCATTGAGATCACCCGCCAACCGATCACAGAGACATAAATATCCCAAACCTCGAATACCTAACCGAAAAAGACCGGTAACGCATCGGTTACTCCTCTGGTGTTCCAGGTGTCCATGGGCGGCGCCGATTGCTTACCATCAGGTGATCCGTCTGCTTGTTTAACGACTTATGCCATAAAAAAAGACGGATCACTTGAACACCAGAGGTTTTACAAGTGCGTTACCGGCCTTTTGGGGATTAGGAGTTTGAGGATCATTGGGGATTCAGGAATTGGGGAGATTAGGGGAAGGGGAAGGTAATTGAGCCTCCGGTAACCTCACTCACACAACGAAAGCGTTGCTTCACGTCGGTTTTCTGCTCAGCCGTGGTATCACTCCGGTCGAGCCAGCCCATTCGTGCCGAAGCATGGCTCTCCCACACTTGAAAACATCACATTGATTACAGATTTGCGTAAAACATATAGAAGAAGCGCCAAGGAGACGTCCGAAAAAGATCAAGATACCACGCCGGGCACCGTCTGTAGTTGTAGAGCCGCCTAGGGTCATCGTTATGACAGCTGGTATTAAGCCGAAACCAGTGTAAGTTCATCATATTTCACTAGGAGACCATAACTGCTGGATTAAAGCTTTAAGAGCCCCTTAAAAACGGACGGTGCTCTTCTCCAACATAGCTTTCTCAAGTTCTATGTACTTTCTAAGATTATCTAGACGCCACTGACAAACGGTGAAAGGAAACATCGTGAGGAAACCTGGACTTGTAATTTCTAATTTTAAGTTTGAAAACGCCAACCCGCATTGACCAAGCGTGGTGATTGATGCTCAAACCTTCTCCGTGCGAGAAGAGACGTTTGGTCAGCAATGGCTAGTACCCACATAAGCTACCTAATGTTGATGTAAAACATTTATTTTATTTTAACATAACATAACATCATGCCTACATTATGTCACTGACAATATAACACCCACGTTTAGTCGCGGAGAACCTAACGGGTAACCGGGGCTCCGACTCGACGTGCAGGAGAAGGAACGGGGTGTTTTCTAGTCAGTAAGAGTCTGACACTCCCTCCCGCCTCACCCAGGCGGGAGCAGTCATTCGATGATTTTTTCCCCCCTTAACTCGTCGAGTACCGGTTTTGTAGACACAATTATAGAACAATAGGTTGCGGTCACCGGTGACCGCTTGATGTTTGACAGTTTAAAAAAAAAACACTCACTTTTGACTATTCATGTTATGAGTCCCATGTAATAGGGTGAGCCTATTGCCATATACCGGGCACAATTCCAGACTCCGTGCTACTACTGAGATTTTTTTTAAAACCTTGTAATACTTTGCCCGACCCATTGCAGTCGGACTTGCAACCACTCGGCCAAGGAGACAGCCAATTATTTTATTTTACAGCAAACTAAACAAGTGCCTGGTCTCTCCTCCTACTCTGTACGAGCTAACCGCCGCGGTAGTGGACAAGTTGCAATACCCCGACCCCTTCCAATGGACTGAACACAATGTAGCTCAATGGATGGAATGGAATCTCGGATTTCCAGAATACAAGGTACTTTAAACTTTACGGAGCCGCGGAGGGCATAACGGGTTGCCGGGGCTCCGGCTCGACGTGCAGTGGAAAGAACGGGGTGGTTTTTAGTCAGTAAGAGTCTGACACTCCCTCTCGCCTCACCTAGGCGGGAGCAGACATTCGATGATTTTCCTCCTTAAATAAAAAAGTATAAACTGACCCCATAAATTAAACATTACATTCCAGGAATGCATCTTAGACAATCAGATAAATGGACGAAGACTACTTCGTTTCGAAGACCCATCACAGCTGCCGAAGATAAATATCCATGACTTCGAACATATCAAAGTAAGAAAGACTTTTTTAAACCTCATTAATAGGGAAGATGCCTAATTTTTGTTTTTAATGTCCGTCTGGTAGATTATTTTAAATCATTAGACACGTATTTTTTATTTTTTTTCAGAAACGAATACTTTCGACGATATATTGATTTGAAATGTCGCGTGACGTCACTTCTATGTACATTTTATACGTAGAAATGACGTTTTAGCCCCTACTCCTAAACTTTGATTCGTTTTATCTAAGTATTGTTTTATTATACGACAAAATAAAAAAATAACATAACATCACGCCTTTTTATCCCCGAAGGGGTAGGCAGAGGTGCACACAGAAGTAACACCCACTTTTCACTATTAATGTTTATGTTAATAGGGGGTGAGCCTATTGCCATATACCGGGCACATTTCCAGACTCCGTGCTACTACTGAGATTTTTTTTGGTGAGCTAAAATATGGTAGGCCCCATTGCTTACCATCATTTGTTAATTGAATAAAAATCTCCTTTTTCAGGTAATAACAGCAGCGATAAGAAAACTTTATTCAACAAACTATGTACGGTTCAAGCGCAGTATCAGCTTGCCTATAAGGAAACCGGACACCCACTGTGTCTGGTTCAAATCCCTGACAGGACCAGTTTGGGGGGTTCGAGAGAATTATACCAGGTAAGAATCTCAAAAAGTATATTAAGTAACATCTTAAATACTTTTTTGTATAGCTTTTGGAAACTATCTTCTGCCAGCGGCGTCACCCGTGTTCAATAATAGACTACGTGTTATTCCAGAACATAACCTACCCATGTTCCAAATTTCATTCTAATCCCTTCAGCCGTTTTGACGTGGCTGAGTAACAAAACACACACACAAACTTACAAAAATTTTCACGTTTATTCAATTAAGTAAGATGAGTCAGCTCTTGGCCACTATCTTGCCTGGTGCACGATGATGCGGTCTACGATGGAGAACGTCGTCCTCAGTCGACGGTAGACTGCGATACCGATTGCGCGCTCGCACTCCTTGCTTTGCGTCGTGTGCGTGTTCTCTGAGTTTCTCAAACTTTTCCATCGCAATGTTTACGTGCAAGAGTTGTGAAGCCCATGTTAGTGATGGGGTTAGGTGCACTGTTTGCGAGGGGCATTTTGATTTTTCCTGTGCTGGCATTACCGAGGCGGCGTGGAGAAAGCTCGCCGACCGTAAAAGAACCACATGGAAGTGCGGAGGCTGTGTTGCCAGCCCCCGAGCCTGTACCGTCAAATCCACGTCATCGTCGGATTCAGGCACCGTTTTATCGGAGTTGAAGAAATTATCTAGTCAAATGGAGGCATTGCCGGGATTAATGGAAGATTTGAAGGCCATAAAGGCAGAACTCTCAGAGTTAAAATCTATAAAAAACGAGTTTGCTGATGTAAAGATATCCATAGTTGACCTCAAAGCATCGGTGGAATTTGTGCACAGTTCTTTTGTTGATCTCACGAACAGGGTGGCGGGTTTGGAGGGCGAAATAGACAAACTAAAGAAAAACGAAGAGACTTTAGTAATGCTGCGTGATCATTGGCGAACACAGGAGCGACTGAATCGAGAAAATGAGCAGAGATCGAGAATGAACAACATTGAAATTAAAGGTGTCCCTGTTACTAGCTCTGAAAATCTATTTAACATCATGGCGAAAATCGGTGACAAAATTAAGTGTCACGTTCCCAAAGAACAAATTAATTATATCGCAAGAGTTTCTATGCGCAGTGATAGTGGTGGAAAGATGATAATTTGCTCAGTACATAATAACTATCTCAAAAACGACTTTATATCCGCTGCTAGAAACTTCAAAAAGTTAACTGCTAATGACTTGGGATTTCAAGGTGATAATAGAATTTATATCAACGACCATCTTACACTGGAGAATAAAGCATTATTGAATAAAACAAAATCACTGGCTAAAGAAAGGGGTTTCCAATACGTCTGGGTTCGAGGTTGTAAAATATTTATTCGTAAATCCCCGACATCTGTGAAACACCACATTAGAAACGAAGATGATCTCGAGAAGTTTTTTTGAATAATCTGTGTCAGTATGATAGTGCAACTTGCGCTCTGTGTTGTATCGTCCGAACGGGTTTGAGAACCGTAGCCTCAGGTAAATGTTTTTTCTATGCGTACCGCTCTGAGTCATCAGTTCGCTTATCGCTTCTTTTAAAATGTAATATCCTATTATTCTACAATTATAAACATTGCAACATTGATGGGAGGGATGTTAATCGTTTGCATGAGAATTTAATTTTATCAATTAGTAACAGAAACATTACTATTTTATTTACTTATACCTACTTTTTCTTCCGTGAATATAATGAATGTAATGTGAAACATAAAGTTTTTTTTTTTTTTCAATCAGTTCTTTTTATCTGCGGGCTGGATGTACGTACTATTTTGCATAGATGTACTCACATTCTTTTAATACTCATCGATGGTGCCTCTTAGCATTTATTATCAGAATGTTCGGGGACTGCGAACGAAAACGGTTAGTTTTTATCGATCAGTGGCTGTGAATTGCTTTGATATAATTTGCTTGACAGAAACGTGGCTCATTGGGGGTATACAGGATTGTGAATTATTTGATGATAGGTATATTGTGTGGCGAAGAGATCGGAATTATGTACATACAAATCAATCAATGGGAGGGGGTGTTCTAATTGCCGTGCGACGCGAAATTGCGGCTGACGATCGAAGTGAGTGGCGCTCGTCCGCGGAAGATTTGTGGGTAACTTTAACTCTTAATAATAAAAAACCTCCTACCTCCTTCAAATTACATCTATGCGTTGTTTACATTTGCAACCAACCTCTTGGAGATTCACTTATGGTTCAGTTAAATAACTTTTCTAGCAATTTACTCGACATCAATATGAAACATGCGGCTGACAAATTCTTAGTTTTAGGTGATTTTAACCAGCCCGGCATTCAGTGGATTCCTGGGAAGGGCTGTAGTTATCTGTCTCCGGGTAACGTACAAGGTCATATCCAGACAAACTTCTGTGATATTTTAAATGCTTGCAACTTGTCGCAGTACAATCCATATAGTAACAGTAATGATAGGATACTGGACTTAATTTTATCAAATCACGATATTAGTATTGCTTGCTGTACGGATCCATTGGTGTCAGAGGATCCACACCATAGGGCTTTGTGTGTCTCTGCGGATTTTGTTCACCTACCTCAGCTACCCAGCCGTCCTAGAGTAAGTAATTTATATCATCAAGCTGATTATATAGCCATAAATCAGGAAATGAACAAAGTTAATTGGAATATGGAGTTGAACTGCAGATCCCTTGAGAGCGCTGTTGACTTCTTCTATGATACTATTAAACAACTACATGTAGATTATGTCCCTACTAAAATAATAACGCCGCGTAGTAAGTATCCCCCCTGGTTCAAAAGTCCCCTTGTAAAGATCTTAAAAGAAAAATCAAAATACCATTCCAAATATAAAAAATATGGTAATCTAAGTGATTTTCAGTCCTTTACTATGTTGCGTAAAAGGGCCAAAGACTTGGAAAGGGAAATGTATGTTGATTACATCACAAATATTGAATCAGCAATTTTGAAGAATCCAAAGTCATTTTGGACTTATGTTAAGAGCAAACGGCAAACTAATTCTTATCCCTCCACATTTAAGTATGGCGAAATTAAATCCAACAATGGAGAGGACATCTGTAATATGTTCAGCAACTTTTTTTATTCTAACTTTCAGGAATTACCTCTTTCATCTGGCTCGGACCGTGTACCCTCCACACACCATAAGTCCTCAACAGCAGATATCTGCTCCGTTGAGATAGTCGAAGAGCAGGTATTTCGATTACTTAAGCACGTGGATGTAAACAAGTCGGCGGGGCCAGATAACATTGCGCCAATCTTTATATCTAAATGTGCTAAAAGTTTGACTGTCCCGTTGACAATACTATATCGGAAGTCTATGGCTGCTGGAGTAATGCCAACTGTATGGAAGTCGGCGTATATAACGCCTGTTCATAAAAAAGGACCTAAAAACGTTATAGAAAACTACAGACCAATATCCAAATTGTGTATATTTGCCAAAATTTTAGAAAAACTAGTACATACACAGCTATCTTCTACTCTTAAACATTCCTTCTTGGAGCAACAACATGGATTCATTAAGGGCCGTTCCACTACATCTAATCTTGTTGTCTGTAGTGATTATTTGTCTGAACATATGTCAATGAGGTCCCAGGTGGACGTTATATACACCGACTACAGCAAATGCTTCGATCGAATAGATCATCTTCAGCTATTGTATAAGCTGGCTTGTATAGGTATCAGAGGTGACTTGTACAGATGGTTTGTATCCTATGTGGAGGGTAGATGTCAGATAGTGGTTCTTAACGGATACTCATCAAGATCTGTCCGTGTCCCTTCCGGGGTGCCTCAAGGGTCCCTTCTGGGACCCCTATTGTTCAATATTTTTGTGAATGACATTGATGCATGTTTTCAAAATTCTAAAATACTACTTTATGCAGATGATATGAAGATACTGAGACCGATAATGACAGAATTGGATGCAATATCTCTGCAGAAGGATCTTGATAACTTTCAGGAGTACTGTGTCGTCAACAAACTGGACCTAAATGTTTCCAAATGTTTCGTATGCACTTTCACACGCAAACCGAGTCCTGTCCTTTATGACTACAAACTCTCAGGGTGCACAATATCCAGAGTTAACAACATTAGGGACCTTGGTGTGATTTTTGACTCAAAGCTAATTTTTGATACCCATATAGATAAAATAGTGAATGAGGCATCTAAGGCTTTGGGTTTCATCTTCAGAGTCTCTTCTGAATTTCGTAATATAAAAACATTAAAAATTTTATACTGTGCGTTCGTCCGCAGTCACCTGGAATACGCCTCCCAGATTTGGAATCCTAACTACGCCATATATGTAGATCGTGTCGAGAGTATTCAGAGGAGATTTCTTAGGTACATCCAGTTTCGCTCTAAAACCTACATCAATAACTATATAGATCGTTGCAAGCAGTTTCACACCCTTCCATTATGTGAGCGCCGTAAAATTGCAGATTTATCATTCCTGTTCAATATAGTAAATGGCTCATTAGATATACCGGAGTTGGTGGACAGAATAGGGTTGCGTGTGCCTTCTGCTTTTCTGCGCAAACCTGTACTTCTCAACGTCCCGTCTACCAACACTGTTTATAGACAAAATTCATACATGATAAGAGCGTGTCGGACATACAATTCAGAGTGCCGGAGGATTGATTTGGATTTGTTTCACACTAGCGTACGTAGATTAAAGAAATTAATGTCTTCAAGTTTCTTTCAAACATAATAATTATCTTATTTCTTTTTGTTTTTCTAAACAGTTTTTTTTTTGTTTCGTCATATGCTGTCTTTTTAAACTAGTAACTTAATTACCTATAAGCGGAAACTTGTTATTGGCCGTTTATCTATAATTTAATCTATCCTTATGTTATACCTAGCTGTAAGTTTTCCTAAAATTGTAAAATAAAATAAAATAAAATAAAATAAGTAACTTATTCACTCAGGCCTTGAAGACACCCAGGTTATACCCTTCAGGAAATACAGACTATGGCAAAGAATTCCACTCCTTAGCTGTACCTATATTATATTAGTATTCCTTTCAAAAAATTATATTTATATTTCAGGAGCGATATACTTCGTTGGATGAAGATCATTGGCCCAAAACCAATTTATTTAGACCATTGGGATTTAGTTTGGTAATCATTTTATTTACTAAAGCGTTTTTTATGATATAAGCCGGTAAACGAGCAGACGGATCACCTGATGGTAAGCAATCGGCGTCGCCCATGGACACATGGAACATCAGAGGCTTTATACACTCAAGTTCGCTACCGGCCTTTTGGGAATTAGGAATTTGAAGACTGTTGGGGATTGAGGGATTGGGGAGATTGGGGAAGGGGGGGGGATTGGACCTCCGATAACCTCATTCAGATGACGAAACGCAACGTTGTTTCACGTCGGTTTTCTATCAGGCCGTGGTATCACTCCGGTCGACCCGGCCCATTCGTACCGAAGCATTGAACATGGAACTTCTTAAGGAAGGATATTGAATATTTTAAGTCAAAGGATGTTATTATTTTAATGCATTCATTAAAAAGCTTTTTGAAACGACACGACAAAATAGAACAGCAGGTCTCAGTACGATAGCTCGGTGCAGGAGTGTAGGAGACCAGAGCTGCGGACGACCAAGTGGCTTACCGGAGCTTCGGCCCCAAACTAGAGTAGGAACGGTGTGGTGTTGACTCAGTAAGAGCTTGACACTCTCTCTCGCATCACCCAAAGCGAGAGAAATCATTGAATGGTTTCCCCCACAGAAAAGAGGTGCAAGGAGTATGTATCAATGAGACTGAAAAACCTTTTTTTAAAAAGAGTAACGGTGGAGTTTCTTGCTCATTCTTCTCCATTCGAAACTACACTTTGTAACGAGCGCCTAGCATCACTGATAGACAAACGGACGGAAAATAAATTTTTGACGTTTTAAAAGTGCCTTATTAGGGACGAATTGAAATAAATGCTTTGACTTTGACTGCCCAAGATTTTGCAAAGTCGCGTATTAAAAGCTTTGTACACTTTCTCAGGTATCAAAAACCGGACTGGCCTAAATCATTGTTGGCGAGAATACCCGAACGGGATAAGGATCCTTTAAATCACATCCCTATATACGATCCACCTGTAGAGCACTGCTATGAGTACCAGGTAACATTACGCTTTTTATTCCAAGAAAACCATGTCATCATCAACAGCCTATAAATACCCACTGCTGAGCAAAGCCGCTTCTCACACGGAGAAGGTTTGAGCATTATATATCACGTTTGCTCAATGCGGGTTGGCGATTACAAACTTATAATTAGAAATTATAACCCCACGATGTTTCCCTTCACCGTTTGTCAGTGGTGCCTAAATAATCTTAGAAAATAGGTACATACATATAACTCGGAAGAAGTCACATTGGTACTTGCCGTTGGTAGGTTTCGAGCCCGCACACTCAGGCGTGGGAAGCGGGCGTCTTAAACCTCCGGGCCACCACGACATATAGAAGAAAGACATGTAGAAGTGATTTAAAAACAATTCTTTCCATCTTCAAATTCCAGACCCCAAGAAAATTCCGTATTCAAGCGAATATTCCAGAAGAAGCTCAGCTGATCTGGATGGAACACCGCCCAGGATCTGCATCCAGAATAGAACCGAAGAAGACGGAAGGACAAGTTGAGAAAGCGAAAGTAAAGAAGTCTAAGAAGAGAGATACTCGTCTTTTGCCAAAGAAAGTAGTTCTTGATGGGCTCAGTGGAAAAGAACTCATTTTAGCCAGACGAAAGATGCCGAAGAAGAAATTTTTAGCTTAAATATTTTACAATTTTTTAACAACCATTTATCGAATGACGATTTACGTTCACGAGATAGCGTTAGTGACGCGTAATACCCTATTAGTCCAATCACCGTTACTGTAACATTTTTTTTAACCGGCAATTTGACAACTGTCTTGCCTGGTGGTGAGCAATGATGCGGCCTACGATGGAGCACGTCGTCCCATAAGCAACGTATTCACGCAGGCCTTGAAGACACCCAGGTTATACCCTTCAGGAAATACAGACTCTAGCGACAAATGGACTTGTCTTGATATTTAGAAGTCTTTTATTTTAGTTAAGCTTACTACACTAACCCCTTTAGTGAAATCCCCCATTATAAAATGTCTTCATATCGTCATGTCTTATGTGCCATTCGTTTAGAACACTGGATCACCAAAAACACGATTCCTACTTCGGTTCATCTAGGTACTTTAATAGGGTAGTTTCCTAAATTTTATTTTGTCCGTCTGGTACATTAATTTAAATCTTTAGACACGTATTTTTTCTTTTCTCACAAAATTAAATACTTTCGACGATATGTTAATTTGAAATATCGTGTGACGTCAGAGCGTGCCACATTTTATAGCACGTTATGACGTAACAACCTCCCACTCCTAAACTTAGCGCCAAATATCTAAGTATTGCAACTTAATCCGTGAAAAATATTTTTCATTATCTAACTGGTGGACTAATTAGATTTTTAATTTTAGTACCCTGAAAATTACCCAATTGTATGTCATTATGAAAATGAAAGATAAAAACATGGGTTATGTGACATCTGGGGTTTGCTCTTGTATCCAATTCCGATCGATCGACATTGATATTGTCATACTCTTTAGTTGCAACACTAGCGCATTGCATCGGTATTGCGTGGATATTGAATGAACTAAATGAAATTGAGTTTGTCTTTATATTCCGTACTCTGAATGCTATTGTAACAGCTACGATTGTGGTTGTATTGTGTTGACATTGAATAATTATTGAGATTTTATTGGATTGAAATTGCATTGACATTGAGATTGGTTTCAAGAGTAGGTGCCCTAAACTTATCAGCAATTAAATTATTATTGAATATAGCCTTAACTTTTTTAGACCTTTTGATGTAATATCGAGTTATTTATTAATAATATTCGTATAATAAAATCTGTTCAGTTTGTTAAGATGTTGAATTATTATAAAAAAGGCGGTGCTTTTTTTTAAAAAACGTTGCCACACTAGGATTTTCTCCTATTTCTTGTGTGCGTTTACAAACATACAAGTTCACATACACATCACACCCAGATCTGGAACAACAATTTGTGGATCACACAAAGAGTTGTTCCGTGAGTTCGAACTCGCGACACGTTACGTGGTAGCCAATTGCCCAGTCACCGCGCCAACCGTCGTGCAGTCAAAGTACTGAAGAGCACCAACTGCCCAATATTATACTTTATTACTTTTCCAGATTGTACGTATTTCTTCTTTAAGCTCTGTATATTTGTGTATCTTCTCTGTTATTGTTTTATGTACGTTGCAGGTAATAGGGTAGTTTCCTAAATTTGATTTTAATTCGTCTGGTACATTAATTTAAAACCTTAGCACGCATTTTTTTCTTTTCTCTCAAAATTAAATACTTTCGACGATATATTAATTTGAAATATTGTGTGACGTCACAGCGTGCGACATGTTGTAGCACGCTATGACGTAACGACCTCCCACTCCTAAACTTAGCGCCATTTTATATAAGTATTGCAATTTAATACGAGAAAATAAAAAAATACGTGTCTAATATCTTTTTATTATCTAACTAACGGACTGATTAAATTTTTAATTTTGATACCCTGGAAACTACCCAATTGGGATGAATAAATCAGTAATTTAAACTATTTTGTTAACTTTATAAATGAACATAATATCTGATCTGTTATTGTGTACAGTTTTATCAGTCAAAATAGGTCTATCAAAGTGGACTATAGTGTGTGATTTGGACTTTCCAGTGCAGATTTTGGTGCATATTGGTAGTATAGTACGGTGGGATTGGTCAAATGATTGATGTCACTTACCTGTATGGCAATAATAACAGTATCATTCTGAACAGGTCCGAATATATCTTCATTGTATATAGTCTGTGCTTCATTGAATCTCTTGATTGCTTGCTTTATTTCAGTTATGTTCTTTACAGCTATCCGGTCTGTCGAGTTCCCTGAAATATTTGTAAGGATTCTTATTAGCTTCAAAAAAAAAATATTTATGTTTTGTCAAGCCTAGAGAAGAAGATTGGATTAGTCTCCACTGCCGATTTCTGAATGACTAATATCAATTGTGTACTTGCCAACTAGTCAAATTCAATACTTTTTTCGAACTGTCAAAAACGACAGTTTTCTACGAATTTTTTTATGAGATTGTGTATTGTGACGTCACGTATTATTAGCGTCAAAGAGCAGAGAGAGTCTACTTATTTCTTAAAAATAATCTGGAAAAATACTAAATTTAAGTTAGTTATAAAAGTAATGAATGAAAGTGTGATTATTTTTAAATATTTTATTGTATAAAAGAAAGTGTGGGAGAGCCATGCTTCGGCACGAATGGGCCGGCTCGACCGGAGTGATACCACGGCCTCACAGAAAACCGACGTGAAGCAACGCTTGCGTTGTGTTTCGTCGTGTGAGTGAGGTTACCGGAGGTCCAATTATCCTCTTCCCCAATCTCCCCAATCCGTGAATCCCCATCGATCCTCAAACTGCCTAATCCCCAAAAAGCCGGTAACGCACTTGTTACGCCTCTGGTGTTCCAAGTGTCCATGGGCAACGCCGATTGCTTACCATCAGGTGATCCGTCTGCTCGTTTACCGGCTTATGCCATAAAAAACGCATTTAACGTTGCCGCTTCGTGAACAGTTTTTATTCTTTCTAAGCAAGATGCGAGCATTTGTCATTTGTAGGCCGCCGTTTGTGAAGGATGTGTGCATTCGTCAAATGACGCTACGTTGTCAGAGAAGGACAGAGAAATCATGATTTTTTTGTTGCCTGATTGGGCAAGTGATCCCTTGCTTGAGACCCTTGTGTGAATACTGGAGTAGTGCAAAAGACATACAAGAATCAAATTTTTAAGGAGTTCCCCAAGGCGTCATGTTAGGACCAACATTACTAAAAACGGTGATTTTTTCATAGACTCTTAACTAATTTGGGAACTGCGTGAAGAAAGAAGTATTTAAACTAACCTGAATTATTCCTTGGATGTACTGTCAAATATTTATGAAGCTCAGGCGGTACCAATGCTAAAACTTGCTCAGACGTGTCATTAGCATTCATCAGCTCCTCTGAAACCAAGCATATTACATTTGAAATAGAGTTCAAATTAAATTGCTAAAGCCTAGTACACATCTTTCCAATCTAGCACATTACATACATTGATAAACAATAATACATCAAATTTTGTGGTACATAAAGTTGAAAATTGCACACGGTCACATCGTGAAGGTTTACCATAGCCTATACAGAATAGCATAGAAATAACATGGTGTCGACAACACAAAGAACGGCCTAAATACACCAAAACACACCAAAATTTTACCTTTTTCCTTAAACAATAAAGTCCAAATTCCAATCCCCTGTTATTTTACAATACCAAAAATATAACGAACGCCACACATAAATAAACATAAAACCCCAAATTTCATGTGATATACCAACTTGTTTAACGTTTTGCATCATAGATGGCGTTAAACATATATACCTAAAGAAGTAGTTCCGTTGTTCCATCGAGAGATGGCGTTACGTAAAATGAAATAGTACATTTCGTCTCTGTGGAATTCCATGAGAAGTATGTCAGATATTTTGAAATAAGTAAAACTGGGCCGAAAGCCAATTTTTGAAGTAATTAATCTTATTAATGAGGTGCATATCTTGTAAATATTTCGTTGAGAATTTATAACTTGTGAAATGTATGGTGACTTGATTTAAATTTAATATAGGATGAACGGAGATACAAAGGTACACACACCAAAATAAACACGACCAGTATATCATAGTCTCAGTTTGTATGGTCTCTCCGCACATTGACCGGTCAATTTATACTGGTTGCATATAACCAGTCTATTTGTATGACTTTTCTACACACTCCAAGGTCAACTTATACTGGTTTTGTATGGCTTGATATGTAGCCGTGTATACCATGAATAAACATGTGTAGGTAACTAAAATTACCTAGTACTAGTTAAAAATTAATCTTAAGGTATGCACATGCTAAGTTCAATTACGAAAGCATGCTTCAATTGGATACTTGTCAGTTAGTAGCACGTGTGTTGCTCAAAATTAATAACATCACGCCTTTTATGTAGGCGAAGGTGCACATTATGCCACTGTACAATGTAACACCCACTTTTCACTATTTATATTATGAGTCCCATGTAATAGCGGGTGAGCCTATTGTCATATAACGGGCACAATTCCAGACTCCGTGCTACTACTGAGATTTTTAAAAAAAACCCAGTTATACTTTGCCCAACCCGACAATCGAACCCGAGACCCCTTGCCCGGCAGTCGCACTTGCGACCACTCGGCCAACGAGGCAGTCAAGCTCAAAATTAGAATGCTCATTTCAGATGTTAAAACCTTGCCCCACACTAAGGTTTTTTTTCTGTCTCGAGGGTGCGTTAACAAACATACAAGTTCACATACACATCACACCCAGACCAGAAACAACAATTTGTGGATCACACAAAGAGTTGTTCCGTGCGGAATTCGTACACACACGTTGTCCAGCCACCGCACCAACCGTGTCGTCACATTATAGAGGTATTTAAACTTATAAATGTCTACATGAATATCATCGAGTTTTAAAAAAAGTCGATGAATTTGCACCCTTTCTTAACTATTCGTATTATATCGACCGCCACACCGCATAAACTAGAAACGAAAATACCACAATTTGGCACTATAGATATAAGTTATTTACATAACAACAAACAAAGTACATATAGCGATAACGATAAATAAAACAAAATGGACAAAACAAAAGAAAAATTAAATAAAAATACAACGATTCTTTAGGCCGGGCGCCCACTGTCGGCATCGGCAAACACCAGGATCCTTCCACATCTTACATGCAAGTGCACACTGTCGGAAACTATGCTTTAGCATGCTGGAACGTTCTTAGGGATGACGAGGCGTCCTTAAGCATGGCGCACCGTGCTGAAGCATGACGAAGCGTCTCAATATCGACTGTTATGATGAGTCTGACAGGCCAGTTGTCTGAGTTGTATTTAATATGGTGGACCGGGATCTAGTGCTCACAGTAGCTCTTGCTGAAGAAGAAGAGAAATCTAATCAATCAATCCCGCTGCCGGTGGCCGGAGTATGCCTGAGTATGCCGACTCATCCCGAAGCATCCCGAAGGATTCTAAAGGCTGCCGATACAGCAGCCTCAAGCATATCGAAGCGGTATTTTTGTTATTACGATCATATGCACGGCAATTTCTACTTTATGGTCATTATGTTGATGTATATTGTTATTTGCCACCTAAAATCCTCAGACGTGCCAATGCCGATAGTGAGCGCCGGGCTTTAGCAGAAGACAATTATAATACAATATCGCACGCAATAATCAAATAGAAATATCCGCGATTTACGACGATATTACATAATAGAACATCACGCCTTTTATCCCCAAAGGGGTAGGCAGAGGTGCACATTACGGCACTTAATGCCACTGTACAATGTAACACCCACTTTACACTATTTATGTTATGAGTCCCATGTAATAGTGGGTGAACTATGAGCTACGACGGTATTAATAATGAATAAAAGGCGAATCTAATATTTAACAGAGAACTGATATACAATGAACCGAATTATTTAGTATGCAGGTAAGAATATAAATATTGATTCAGGACAGAGACAGTAACCATTGGTTGTCTAGACCCGACTGAGTTACAAAAGATATGGCTTCGTTACAAAGCATATAATTTACAGCTTGGCAAAAAAGAGTTTGACGCCGTGACAGCTGGAACTAATATTGTCTTGAACTGAATCACCCACTTCGGACCACATCCCATGAATAAACAATCATCCGAACACAGTACCTCCTCTTTTTAAACTCGATAAAAATAACAAATATCTAAACCTGTTGAGTCGTAGTGTACCGGGTTGCCACAGGTACGATACCGGCGACCTCTATTATGCCAAACTCTTTTTTGCCAAACTCTTTTTTGCCAAATGTAAACAATAGCTAAAATATCTTTGATGAATATATCTACTCTACAGTCGCCATACGACTTGAAGTTTCATATAAGGAGTTGATCTGAAGAACACTAATAAACTCAATATTACATAAAGGTGTCCTAAAGGCCTTATCATACTAGCTAGCGGGTTGCAAACGACTTCAAAGTGGCACACAACGAATTCGTTACGGACACAACGAACAAGCCGCGCATGCGCAGCGAATTCGTTGCGGGCGCGCAACGGGTTCGCCGCGAACAGCAAAGTTGACGCCATTATTCTACGGCGACAATTTGTTACAATACAAACACGCGACGAAAACGTAACGTATTTGCCACGCCTCCACGACGTATTTGCTGAGCAGGCGCGGTGTGTTCGCGATGCATTGGCTGCCTGCAAACCGCTAGTATGATAAGGCTCTAAGTAAAAAAAAAATGAACATGAACCTGATAATAGCGTGTTTTTATACACTAAATAATAAAGACGAACACAGAAATAAAAAATAACAAAATAAAATTGAACCTTTGAGTGGTAAGGGCAGCGGTATAGAATCCAATATATTATTCGTAACGGTAATGTTATCTGAAAATTATTAAAATAGTACTTAGAAGATGTTAATGTACAAAAATATATTTCTACTAAAATATATAATATTCCGAACAAGGGTAGCTCGCCGCCCGACAAGGGGGCTTACTCTTGAATCCAATTCCAATCGATCGACATTGGTATTGTGAAATTTCGTACTCTTGAGTTGCAACACTAGCGCCCATTGCATCCGTATTGCGTAGATATTGAATGAACTAAATGGTATTGAGTTTGTCTTTATATTCCGTACTCTGAATGCTATTGTAACAGCTACGATTGTGGTTGTATAGTTTTGATATTGAATAATTATTGAGATTTTATTGGATTGAAATTGCATTGATATTGAGATTGGTTTCAAAAGTAAGCACCCAGAACCAGGCCCGTGAGTACAGCGCGTCGCAATCTGCGCAGCCTCAAAGAGCCATCAGACCACCACAGATGGGGCCCAGTAGGGCTGATGCCCGATATGGAGCTGCGGAAGGCCTAACGGGTTGCCGGGGCTCCGGTTCGAAGAGCAGAAGTACGAACAGGGTGGTTTTAGTCAGTCAGTAAGAGTCTGACACACCCTCTCACCTAACCCAAGGCGGGAGAAGTCATTGGATGATTTTTCCCCCCTCAACATAAAGCTATGCTAGTAACGTTTAATTTGAAAGATCGAAGTAAACTCGATCGCGGTCCGCCATGCCATAGCTTGTGAGAATCATCACGGCCAATGACGGGCAAGAATGCGATCTAGCTTATTTTGAAAGTTCGTATTGACAGTTACAAGCTGTCCAGTCAGAAGAATGAAGGAATGAAGATTGATTGACTTTATAATATGTAAGTACAACTACTCGTCTACGTGCTGCAAAAAATAGGTATGCCAAAACTAAAAAAAAAAAACAAAATAACAATAGAATCCACCAAAATAATAAAATTAAATCCAATAATGAAATATTTGTGAATAAATACTTGGAATAATTATTAAACCATAAACCCTTCACCTAAACCAGCTTGGGTGGTCACAACATACATAATATTCTTATAGATGAGTGCAAAAAAATGACACGTAAATTTGGATTTGTCATTTTTTCCGTATTTCTGGACTATATTGGTATAGTCCAGTCAATTAAGTAAAATCGCGGGTTACTCACTTGAATATGCTGAGAAAAGCTCTACTAGTTTAAGCTGTCGCGGCGACCACGCACGCTGCTCATGAGGAAGAACCCCTCTGTGGTTCGAAACAAGTAGAGCTTTTTTCAGTATATTCACGTGAGTAACCCGCGATTTTACTGAATTTAGTATGTCTCACGATACTTATTAATAAAAACATAGTCCAGTCATTTGGTAGATTCTAAAGATGTTACCGAAAACCTAGTCCTCCCTCCACCCACTATTCCCAAATCCTCCAATTCTTAAATCCCTAGTCCCTTAACGGCCACCGACACACTTATTTTCCCCCACCCCCAAACACCTAATCCTCAAGTCCCTAGCCTTCAAACGGCAAACGGCAAACAGATGATATGGGCGGCGCTGATTGCTCACCATCAGGTGGTCCGTCTACTCGTTTGCCGGCCTATACCAAAAAACGCAACAATAGGGTAGTTTCCTAAATTTTATTTTAATGTCCGTCTGGTAGATATTTTTAAAACATTAGACACGTATTTTTTCTTTTCTCACAAAATTAAATACTATCGATGACATATTAATTTGAAATATCGGGTGACGTCACAGCGTGTCACATTTTGTAGCACATTATGACGTAACGACCTCCCACTCCTGTAGTATATTAGTGACAGTATGTCAATATTCCGTGATAATTGTATGTGAGGGTGTTTGAATAAAAGTCAGTGTTTAACCAACTTGCGTGCGTTTCATTCCAACTCCTAAACGCCATTTTATCTAAGTATTGTAAGTTTATACGAAAAAATAAAAAAAAATATGTGTCTAATATTTTTTCATTATCTAACTGACGGACTAATTAGATTTTTTGTATTCTTACCCTGGCGACTAGGCTTGTTTTTATACCAAATGGTTGAACCGAAAACCAACATTACGAAAACATGAAGACGGACATCGGCGGTGTAAATGCAAAACTTTTCCATTTCTATCCCATTCACCCAAAAAAAACAAACGTACGAAAAAAAAACACAAAATTAAATTGAAAACCTTCTGTACGAATTGGGTTTGTTTTGACCAACATCCCTTGCACCTGTATCATATGGTCTTGACCTGTAATTATTAAAATAGATAATGTAACAGAACAGCAGCTGTGACCAAATGCCATTTATCGCTTGTCTACATGTAGAATAGAAAACCAAATTATATGGGATTGACGTAAATTTTGACACTTGTCAGTGTCATCCCCATACATTTAGTTTTCTACTCTCTCTGTAGACAAACGCTAAAGTGACGTTTGGCTAAAGGCACTGATCCTTTTGAACGCCACGGTCGGTTATAACAAACAAAATATGGCGTGATCTGTCACAGTCGGTAAAAGCCGACAAAAAGACATTATTTTTAAATACATTTAGTTTGTCGGCTATACCCGACCGCGGCGGTCAAAATGTTAATTCCCTAAAGAGGTAGATGTAGCACCCATTTTTGACCAGCTATGTTCTTATGAGTCTCATATTATAGTGGGGTGCAAAATAGGCATACAACGGACTCCGTGCTGTTAATAAAAATATACATATCTAAGCACTGTCTACTTGCGTAAATTCAAAGATGCTCAACTAGTTTCCAGCTATACCGGTCCCCATAAACTTACCAAGGGATACCATTCGTTTACGCAAAGTTAGTTTTAGAAAATTGTTAGAAAAACCCAATACTACTTTGTCTATTATGCGACAGTTGTAGTTAAGCAGAGAAACGGTCGTTATCGTGTTCACAGGTCAATATTTTAACTTGTGAGCTATTAAGAGAATATTCTAATACGAAATAATTAAACAAAAATATCATACCTCCATCTCTGTACATGCCGCCAGTCGACGCGGAAAGCATAATCTGTAGCCATAGACAAAAGAGCCCGAGTATAACAACAACTCTGGCAACCGACGCATATTTTAAGCGTGGCATCTCGTTTATCGATCAATAGATGGAGCTAGTTGCATCTTACGTAGTCCGCCCATTGGCCGGTAGATGGCGTTGTCTCAAATCTCGTTCAGATCATCGTGTTCCATCGTTACTGTAAAGGAAAAAAAAACATGTTTAGAATATTTTTAGTGACCAGTTTTATAACGTTTATAAAGGGACCGTTAACTAATCAATATTCTTTTATAATATAAAAATCTCCCGTTACCGGAGACTGAGTGACTGACTGTACTGTACACAGCTGTAACTATTGCTTGTACTTAGCTGTGGGACGTGACGTGTTTAGGGTAGTACCGATTTAGGATTTTATATGGTATACGGGATAATTCTAGCATACATTATCACCTGATGATAAGACAGACACCCGCAACACTAGAGGAATTACTAACACGTTGTCGGCTTTTTGGGCGTTAAGGATTTGTAGAATAGGGCTAATACGATTTCGCGAAATTCGACCCTTTTCACACATTTTGGCTTCGGTGTCCAGCACCAACTACCTGTAACCTACTACTGAAAAAGTTAATCTTAGACTTTTTTTATTATACAAAACTGAAAAGTTTGTTTGTTGGAACGCGCTTATCTCCGGAATTACTGGATTCTTTTGAAACATTATTTTTGTATATAGGCTATAAGACAGCTACGGTCAATGAGAGCAGAGAAGAGCGGGTGTAACAGTGGGGAGCAGCTAGTGAGAAAATAAAATAAAATTAAAAATTAAAATTTATTTATTGGCATGACACAAGTTAGGTGGTTACATGTAGACATGAAAGCGAACAGCATTCATATAAACGCAAATACGGCAGAGGTTCCCGTGGGTCCTAAATTAGGCACAGCCTGTATCTTGGTGGCCCAATGGTAAAGGTTAAGACTAGTATGTAGTCCAGTGAAATCTGGTTAAGTGAGACATCAAGGAACCTGCAATGTCGTTTCACTTATAGAGGTATTCCACTTACCCAGTGTCTCAGATATACAGGTATAAATAAATATCTGTCTCATTTACAAAGGGTTCCATTAATAGAGGTGGATTTGGAATTACGTGTGGAATTTGTGGGTAGAATAAAAAAGAGTAAACAAACAATGTTATCTCAGTTACAGAGGTTTATGCATATAAAATTTACTCGCTGTCTCAGTTATAGAGGTAACTATGGTGATAAATCGAAAGAACAAATCCCAGATATATTACCTCGTCGCACTAACACAGGTAATTCAGTGCCAAAGTGTTGGGACCTCAGTACGAGTTCCAGTAATTGAGGTTTCTCACTTATCCAGGTCCCACTTAACCAAGTTTCACTGTAGTTAGTTCTCGCATCATGGTTGAAGATTTTTCATATGCGTATGAACGAGCAAAACCTTTTTGTTTTAGAAAACATTGCCCCACATTAGGATTTTCTCCTGTGTCGTGGGTGCGTTTACAAACATACAAGTTCACATACACATGACACCCAGACCCGGAACAACAATCTGTGGATCACACAAAGAATTGTTCCGTGCGGGAATCGAACCCGCGACACGTTGCGCGGCAGCCAGTTGCCCAGCCAACGCGCCAACCGTGCAGTCAAATCAGGCTTTATTAGGTCTTTAACAGAACACGCAATAAGCAATTGATGTATCGGACACGATATGTTGCCGTCTGGCATGGAGTTTCTTGCTCGTTCTTCTCTATAGGAATCTACAGTTTGGAACGAGCATATAGCTTCACTAGAGGACTGACCTGCAGACTGACATTTTTCTTATTATTTAATATTTAAATATTTTGTTGTTGACGTTCAAAAGTACCTTCATGGTCTAATTGAAATAAATGATTTTGATTTTGACTTAGAATTTTGGCAACGGCAGATGCATTTGCTACTACCTAACTGTTGCCGAGGGTGTCCGAATAGCAGCGTTCTTTGATAAACATGTTGCGACACACGAGACAAATGACAGGAGACAGAAGTCGCACATATACGATCGAGGAGTTAACCAACGGATGACGACACAAACCTACAGTGCACATGTAAAATTCACATGCGAATTAACATTAGCGAAGGGGCAGGCAGAGGTGCACATTATGCCGCTGTACAATGTAACACCCACTTTTTACTATTTATATTATGAGTCCCATGTAGGAGGGGGTGAGCTTATTGCCATATACCGGGCACAATTCCAGACTCCGTGCTGAGATGATGATGACTGAATTTTTTTAAAAAAGAAACCCAGTAATACTTTGCCCGACCCGGGAATTGAACCCGAGACCCTTTGCCTGGCAGTCGCACTTGCGAACTCGGCCAATGAGGCAGTCAGTCATGCGAATTAACATGGCGAGAAAATCCCAACGAACAACTGTTGGGCAGAAGGCCCGACAGGCACGATATAGCGTGGTCGGAGGATCCTACTTTTGGGAATTTTACACACTTTTTTTATGGAATAAGCCGGTAAACGAGCAGGCAGCTCACGTGATTGTTATCAATCAGCGTCGCCCATGGACACCTGGAACACCAGAGACGTTACAAGTGCGTTACCGGCTTTTTGGGGATTAGGAATTTGAGGATTGTTGGTGATTCAGGTATTAGAGAGGCGATGTAATTCTTCTGATGATGATGTAAGGGTAAGTAAAAGTCCAGTAACCTCACTCACCCGATGAAACACAACGCAATTATAAAGCAATAATTAGAAATTATTAACAAACCCGGCGAACTCGGTTTCGCCAACAGATGGCTTCGTTTTATGTAACATTTCGTTTAGTGATTAAAAGTGAACCTACGTTTCATTATTTATCATATAAAAGCTATAAACCTCACGGAGCCCGAGACCTTTCCAACGAATGCAAAACTGTGGAAATCGGTTTGTGCGTTCTTGAGTAATAGCGTCAGGAAGGGAAACCCGACTTATTTTATATATAGTAGACTAGCAGCCCGTCCCGGCTTCGCACGGGGTAGACAATTATTTATTTATGGAAATTTGGATTGTTGTAGTGACATAACTACAATAGTTGGACATATGCTACCGCGGAGTTTTTTGTAGACATTATGATGTTCTTCAATACTGTTGTACATTATTTTGTTCTATCGCTACTCGTCGACTCATTTTTTTACACCTTCAGTTACATTGATCAAATTTTACCAAGGATCCCTAATTTTTTTCAAAATGAAATGTACCTATGTGTAATCGGAAAAATGTAGCATTCTATTGGTGTAAGAATTTTTATAAATCGGCCCAGTACTTTTTGAGCCTATTCATTACAAACATACAAAAATAGGTACAAATCTTTCCTCTTTATAATATTAGTATAGATAAGCCCAGGTTTCCTCACGATGTTTTCCTTTACTGTTTGTCAGTGGTAACTAAACTAAATAATCAGCTAGGTACCATTAAGGATTGTATAATGTTGGTTGACATTGAATAATTATTGAGATTTTATTGGTTTCAAGAGTAAGCACCCAGGTAGGTATGCAGCATCACTGCGAGGATCGCCCGGACGACACGGTGGAGCATACGGTGGCGGTGTGTCCTGCGTGGACTGAGCACCGCCGTGTCCTCAGGAATGTGATCGGCGACGGCGACCTCTCGCGTCCGGCTCTGGTTCAGACCATGTTACAGAGCGAGGGGGACTGGGATGCCGTCTTCTCCTTCTGCGAAGCAGTCATGCTAGCTAAGGAGGAGGCGGAGCGCGTGAGGGAACGAACCTCCTCACGACCCGGCCGTCGCGAGAGACACTCCGGGCGTCGGGGATCGCGAGACGATCTCCGGCCACCGTAAGCACGGGCCTGCGGACGGCCAGCGTGGGTGACTCGCCGCCCGATCAGAACCAGGCCCGAGCGTACGGCACGTCGCGTTCCGCGCGCGCCTCAAGGAGCCATCAGACCACCACAGATGGGGCCTAACAGGGCTGATGCCGATACGGAGCCGCGGAACACTTAACGGGTTGCCGGGGCTCCGGCTCGAAGTGCAGGAGTAGGAACGGGGTGGTTTTTAGTCAGTAAGAGTCTGACACTCCCTCCGGCCTCACCCGGGCGGGAGAAGTCATTGGATGATTTTCCCCCCTCAAAAAAAAAAAGGTAGGTATGCAGTATGTAGGTCTCAATACTTGAAATATGATTTGCACTTGAGACATGAGATTTACAATCTTGATAACATGATACATACCAATAGATACATGTAATCAGTACTTGAGATAATTTCCAGTTTTGCAACGTTTTGAAGTAGTATAGAAAAGGGCAGAAATGTGATTTTATTTTATAGGTACTAAATTCTAAAATTCTTCTTATAGTCGTTGTGGCCCGGAGGTTTAAGACGCCCGCTTCTCATGCATGAGGATGCAGGTTAGAAACCTACCAACGGCAAGAACCTTTTATCTTGGTTTCCAGATTCTGTGTACGTATATTGTTATTATTACTGTTATTTCATTTTAATTCTAAGTTGTTTTGTATTTTGTTTCGTGTATTTTTTTTTGTGGCCAACTTTGTCTGTTTTGTAATTTTACTATATTTTCTCATTTACTTTTAACACCTTTTTATATTATGTACTTTGATTTAGTTTTCTTTTTTTATATTTTTTGTAATTCAATTTGATTAATGTAATTGGTGTCTACCGCGTTAATCAATAAACAATAAAAAAAGAACCAACGTGATTTTTTCCGACTTTCATGTACTTTCTTCTTCTTTATTGAACCGTGATAGCAGAAGGGAATAAACCACATCTTCTTTTTCCGCGTGTTATTAGAGCCAACACATTTCATACCTGCCAACAGTGCTCTCTGATAAACCTGAACCTTTTGAACTGCGGTCACCAATTCGGCTGCTTTTTTTAGGGGAGAAAATCATCCAATTACTTCTCCCGCCCAGGTAAGGCGAAAGGGAGTGTCACTTTTTTTTTAAGGGGCGAGAATCATCGAATGGCTGCTCCCGCCTCGGTGAGGCGGGAGGGAGTATCAGACTCTTACTGACTAAAAACCACCCCGTTCCTTCTCCTGCACTTCGAGCCGGAGCCCCGGTAACCCGTTAGATTCTCCGCGACTCCGAATCGGCATCAGCTCTGTTGGGCCCCATCTGTGATGGTCTGATGGCTCTTTGAGGCGCGCGCGGAACGCGACGCGTCTGGTTCTGGTTGGACGGT